TTTACTATTTCGTTTGCGAGGCGGCGCCACTATGATGCGTCGCGCGCGCTCTGCACAAACACGCCGACACACGTATGATGACGTTTCGAGCAGAAATCCCCAAAATCCCATTGAGGTGCCCGGGGCCCCGGCTGTGTGGATTTCGGGTCTGGTGGTGGGTGCGGGCGATAGCGACGCGCATCAGCTGATGAGGCGCGATAGAGTAGGGTGGTGGTGCGGCGTGGGGCCGTGGGCCGTGGGGCCCCCGCCCGCACGCCCCGCAAGGCTACAGAGCGGCAGCGTCAGTGGCCCGGTGAGTGGCCTGACCCGGGAGGGGCCGAGGTGGCGGTGTGGTTGTGGTGTCCGTTGCTGTTAACGCCTCATTCCCCTCATTGTCTGTCAAGGCAAGGACGTCTGCTGCGAGGGAAACTTCCTTTTTTATATTTTATTTTTACGTGTGTGTGGGCATGATGTATTTTAATTCTCTTCATCTCCCAGAGTACACGCTTTGAAACGGTCCCCAGTGGCACTGGCCGGTTATGGTGGGCGTCGTCTGGCCTGAGCCGTGCCCACTAAAGGGATCGTCCAGAAAGTGCGTCCGTTTTTCTCAGATTTTGTCGGCAAAATTGGTGGAAGCTCGGCGCCTGCGATACTCGGGGTAGGCCACCCCGCAGAACACGCATGCACTGCAAGCGAGATGTTGCCTACCTAACAGGCGCTATGAGAGCTGCTTGCATAACTAGGCTGTTTTGTAACGGCGAATGACGGACGTGCTTTCTGGATGATCCCTTAGTAAGTCTCTCTGACGAGATGCGTAAAGTGCGGGCGACGGCGACGGCGAGCGCGCCCGAGAGCAGCGCGGCCGCCTGTCGCTGGCCGCGGCCTCGACCAAGTCCTGTGACCTACCTTCACTGTTGTCGTAGGGCGAGTCGGTGGACTGGCCGCCCGTCCTCAGCTCGGTGGGCAGGTTCCTCATGGACGTGATGGAGGACAGGTCTAGGTCCAGCTCGGCGCCGAGGTCCAGGTCCGAGGTGTCGATGACTCGCAGGAGCAGGGCGTCGACCGACCGCTCTGTCCCTTCTGCAACAACAAGAGGCGAAGGCGGAGGGGTCAGGAGGAGCTAAGCAGAGTCGTCACGACGGCTGGCTAACTTGACCACCGCCGCCGCTGCCGACGGCGGCTACCCTCCTCTCTCCTCTGCGTCGTGTCCAATTCCCCCCTCCCCCCCTTTCCCCCGACCCTAGTACATTGGCCTTGCAGTCGGGGGGACACGGCGGCGCGCGGGTCGGGTCGACCGGTCGACCAGGAGGACAGACGTGCGCGCCCCGTCAGTCGAAATGCCACACCTTCGCTACTGGGGTCATGTTTTAACCTCAGGGCTGCTCACAGGGCGGAAGCCCCCCCCCCCCTCCCTCCTCCGCAGCTCGCACCGCACGTGTGAACGCGGGGCGCCCAGCGCCGGCCCGGACGTATGTATGTATGTACTGCGCGGTACACACTCGGGCGCGGGTCAACACTCGAGTCCGAGTAGTACACACACTCACACACACACATGCGCAGGACCTGAGCCAAAGGGTCGCCGATCGGACACACACATGCTCATACACACTATCAAAACTGTTTGTACGGCTCGAGTCGCGAGTTCGTAATCTCCCCGCATCATCGTCGTCTGCCAAGCGTAGCACAATAAAATCGAAATGTAATCTTGCGGGTCGTTGGCTGGGAGAGAGAGAAAGGTGTGCCGAAGGTGTACAGAGTAGTTGTGCCGACGTGTGCACACTTATACACCGGCTCGATACCGCCTCCGCACCAAAGTAGAGTGACGCGATAGACCGGGCCACCGGGAGGGCGGCGCGGCGAGTGGAGAGTGCGACGCGATGGTGACCGCAGCCAGGTGACGTCGTCGCGCGCCCCAGATCGGCCCACGACCGTCTCCACCTCCACCCCGACCCCTACACCCACCATCACTACCACTGTCCGGCAACAAACTGAACGGCCCAGAAGCCGCCGCCCTAGCCGCGGCTCATAGTGAAGAATTAAGTTATGGTGGTTATGGTACTGTGGCCGAGCACCGTGGTAGTTAGTGGCGGAGCAGAGCACGAAAGCACGCGGGTAGTAAGTTGTTGAGCACTGTGTCAGTGGTCGGGCACTGTGGTAGTAGCCGAGCACTTTGGCAGTGGTCGAGCACAGCACGCGGGCAGTGATAGTGGCTAAGCTCATTAGCATGTCGGTGAATGGGCGCGGTCGGGTTGAGGGGAGGTGGGGAGGATGAGGGGGAGGAGCGGGTCGGTGGTGGCAAACAGGTTGTTGCTGCCGCCGCACGACAAAGGTCGCCCGTGGGCTGGCCGGGCGGCTTGGGGCTTTGGCGGGCGTGAGGTGAGGCAGGCGGGCCCACGGCGAGCGGGGAGATGGGCGCTTTTAGCAAAAAGAGTTTCGAGTGCGGCGAGTGGAGGAGGAGGAGGAGAGGCGCGCGTGTGCTGGTCGGTCGCGTTGCTATGCCGCCGGGGCGTCCGCCGTCGTGGACAGCGACAGCGCTGCCGTGACGTCAGCGGCCAGCACGGCGGTGCGATCGCCCATCGCCCTCACCACACTATCTCATCAGCGGCGACGGCTTGCTGTGCTGTACGGACTCCGGCGGCGGCGACCTATAACGCGTTGGCCCGGCCCCGGCGCTGCTGCACGCTAACACGACTTCCTCACACTTGGGCGGGTCGAAGGAGGAGCGGGAGGAGT